GGGGCAAGGAAAAACCAGCTCTGGAAAAGGTGGAGGTTTTCTTTACCATTTGACCAGAGACATCCAGGCACCCCGCTGAGTGACCGGACGCGGCCATAATGACTAAAGCATGCAGGGGTCCAGATGTTACCCAGAGGTCCGAGCCCGGCTTCAGCTCTGGGGCCTTTTTCACCTCCTGAACCGGAACTGGCAGCTGGTGTCAGAGAGGGGAGGACCGGGTCATGTGACGCCACCTTGTGGCACAAAAAGCGCTTTTCTTTTTCTCTTTCTTTCTTTTTCTTCTTTTTCTTTGTGGATGATCGGACATCAAAACTAAAGAAGATCAGAGTTGGATCTCTTTGGTTCGAGTGGAAGAACGAAGACCTCCGTTTCTTTCTGGACTCTAAAACTTGTTTTCATAGTTTGTTTATGTGTTTATATATTTACAAAAAGCAAACATTTATTCCAATTCAATTCAGCAACTTTATTTATCCAGAATAGGGCAATTTAACTCCAGTCAGACACAAAACAAAAGAAAAAGAGGTCAGCACATAAATAATACATGATAATAAATACATTTTTACGTTATGGCTGGAATAAATAAATGACTAATTGATGGCATCAGCATTTAGCAGCTTGATAAAAAATCTGACATTTCTAATGGGGGGGGCAGGGTAAATGGCTATGGATCAGGTCAGGATTCTTCTCCTTCACGGACGATCCCTAAAACCAGGTAATAAAAGAAAAGGGCGAAAGGCTTTTAATAAATGACCGATAAAAGAACCAGGAAACATTCAAATCATTCAGCTTACGCAACAGCTATATTCTTTGTTGACTCCTTTTTGCCATCGACCCTGTATTGGTACCAAATTAGTTAGAGATGGAGCTGAAAATGAGGCATTTAAATGGGTCAGAATGGGTGCTGGGTGGTCCTTTTTGCCTCTTTCCTCCTCTGTACATGACATTATTATAATCTGTTTATTATAATCTGTGAGGGCTTTTCTGGTTGGCGTGACGAGCCGTGTGCTGTGTCCCGCAGGTCGACCCCCCCCAACCCCCCCAGACCGATATCTACAAGCACTTCATAGGCGGGGATGGCACGGCGAGCAAGACGGCGGCGGCGGTGTCGGGCGCCGCCACCTCGCCGCGGCCGGCCGGGCCGCAGGCCGCCACCCCCCCCGCCTCGGCCCAGTCCCAGAAGGAGCCCTGCGAGCTGTCGGACCGCCAGCGCAAGAAGGTGGCCAAGTACCGGGCCAAGTTCGACCCGCGGGTCACGGCCAAGTACGACATCAAGGCCCTGATCGGGCGGGGCAGCTTCAGCCGGGTGGTGCGCGTGGAGCACAAGAGCACGCGCCAGCCGTACGCCATCAAGATGATCGAGACGCGCTTCCGCGAGGGCCGCGAGGTGTGCGGCTCGGAGCTGTGCGTGCTGCGCCGCGTGCGCCACGCCAACATCATCCAGCTGATGGAGGTGTTCGAGACGGCGGAGCGCGTCTACATGGTGATGGAGCTGGCCACCGGCGGCGAGCTGTTCGACCGCATCACGGCGCGCGGCTCCTTCACCGAGCGCGACGCCACGCGCGTGCTGCAGATGGTGCTGGACGGCGTCAAGTACCTGCACGCGCTGGGCATCACGCACCGCGACCTGAAGCCCGAGAACCTGCTGTACTACCACCCCGGCGCCGACTCCAAGATCATCATCACCGACTTCGGCCTGGCCAGCAGCCGCAAGAAGGGCGACGAGTGCCTGATGAAGACCACCTGCGGCACGCCCGAGTACATCGCCCCCGAGATCCTGGTGAGGAAGCCCTACACCAACGCCGTGGACATGTGGGCCCTGGGGGTCATCTCCTACATCCTGCTGAGCGGAACCATGCCCTTCGAGGACGACAACCGCATGAGGCTGTACCGGCAGATCCTGAAGGGGAAGTACAGCTTCTCCGGAGAGGTGAGGAGGGAGATAAACCCCCCCCAAGCCGGTGGGGGAGAGGCCACTCCTCTAACTCGGGGGTTTCCAAATATTATAATCTGTGAATGTTTTTGTGGCTGATGGAGCTGAAAATGAGGCATTCAGATGAGTCAGAGTGGGTTCACAGGCTGTCATTTTACCTGTTTCCTCCTCTTTTTTGAAGTTATGAGTCAAAAACGCCTCCAAAAACTCTAATTGATATTCTAATATTATAATCTGTGAAGAACTGAAAATGAGGCATTGGAATAAGTCAGAGGGATCATTTTCACAGTCCTGTTAGAGGGCCAGTGCTGCCATCTTGTGTCTGGACTCTGTCACTGACAGAGCAGCAGGGGGGACAGCTCCAGGCCTTTTTGGGCCTCTTTGGTCCACTTTGGTCTTCTCTGGTCCTCTCCGGGCTGCTGTCCTGCAGGTTTCAAAGGTTTCTCTGCTTGTACACACCTGGTCCACATCAACACCAGCAGTCCAGAACCACCTGAAGCATCTTTAGGGGAGATCAGTTTGATCTGAACCAGGTTTTAAGAAGCAGGAAAACCTCTGAAACCTCTAAAAACCTGCAGGACAGCAGCCCAAACAGGCCCAAAGAAGTCTAGAGAGTCTCAGAGAGGCCTGGAGTTGCCCCCCCTGCCTTTGTGCTCCAGAGGTTTTGGCTCCAGTTATCGCTGTCTATCCTGTCCCCCCCCAGCCGGTGTGTAACGCTGTCTCTCCCGTTGCCCCCCCCCTAGCCCTGGCCCAGCGTGTCCAACCTGGCCAAAGACTTTGTGGAGCGGATCCTGACGGTGGACCCGGGCGAGCGGCTGTCGGCGGGCCAGGCCCTCAAGCACCCCTGGATCGTCAGCATGGCGGCCTCGTCCTCCATGAAGAACCTGCAGCGCAGCATCTCCCAGAACCTCCGCAAGCGGGCCTCCTCCCGCTCCTACAGCACCAAGTCGGCCCAGTCCACCCGCTCCAGCCGCTCCACCAAGTCCAACAAGGCCCGCCGGGTCCGCGAGAAGGAGCTGCGCGAGCTCAACCGCCGCTACCAGCAGCAGTACAACGGCTGAGGGCAGCCGCCCCACCGGCCCGGACCGGCTGGGCCTGGACCACTTGGGCCTGGACCAGCTGGGCCGGATACACCTGGGCCTGATCCACTTGGGCCTGATCCACCTGGGCCTGATCCACTTGGGCCTGGTCCACCTGGGCGTGGTCCAGCTCGGCCGTGCCTGGCCTGAACTGGCTTGGCTTTGCTCAGTCCTTCTGGGTCTGGCCCGGTTTGGCTCAGTCCGGCCCGGTTCAGCTCCCTCTGGCCCGGTTCTGTTCCCTCTGGCCCGGTTTGGCTCAGTCCGGCCCGGTTCTGCTGGGCCCGGCCAGCGTCTGCTGCCCTCCTCCTTCAGAAACACTTTGAAGTCGTGGCTCTAAAAGCATGAACGCTGCCTTGGCTTAGGGGGGGGGGCTCCTAGGCTATACCTCCCACTCCCTCCCTCTCTCCCCCCTCTCCATCCCCGGGTGGTTCCATATTTATTTATTATTGTCCGTGCTCAGGTGGTCGCTGGACTATGACCCAACTGGAGGACCTGTTGAGCAGAGTTCTGGACGCTGAGCTTTTCTTTGGACAGGAGGGACTCCTACACGTCATTTCTTACTCAAAGTGCTGTGAATTGTTGTGGTTCTGTTGGAGGGCGCCGCCTGGGGGGGGGGGGCAGCTGCTCCCCACCCGTCAGAAGATTGTGAAGCTTCGTGTCATTGGACTGGCAGCGTTTCCCCTCAGAAGCCGTCGGCCACCATAAATCTGCTCTCCCTTCTCCGCCTAGCAGCATGTTTCAGGCCACGCAGGAAGCTGAGCCGGGGGTCGGACAGTCGGCAGCTTCAGCCTGAAAACAGCCCCCTTCTGTCACCATGTTACAGCGTTCAGCCCCCCCGAGCTCCTGCCGGGGGTCCCTGGAGGCAGCGGAGGTGGGCAGGGAAAGGGGGCGGCTTCTGATCCTCCCTGGGCTTCTTTAGGCCTCTCTAGGTCTCCCTGGGGCTCCCTGGTTCTCCCTGGTCCTCCCTGGTCCTCTCTGGTTCTCTCCAGGCCCCCCTGGGCCGCTGCCCTGCAGGCTTCTAACCCACCGATTGGCATCAGAAGTCCATTCTGCAGATCTGTGCTCAGCTGAAGCGCTTCTGGACGTCCAGTTGGTCCACAACGGGGTTTGCAGGAGCTGGAAAATCTCTGAATCTGCAGGACGGCGCCCCAAAGGGGAGCGGCTAGTCCCCAAAGGAAGAGACAGAAGACGTCCAGAGACAGAAGAAAGCAGCAGGCGTCCAGTCGGAGGCGGATCAGGATGAAAAACATCCTGAACCCAGAGGAGCCAGCACGTCCCGGTGGGGGAACAGGAGCCACTGGGGGGTAAACGAGGGATCACGGCTCTGTGGGCAAACCCCCCACTTCTGCCTCCCATATTGGCTCTGTGGTGGAAAAAAAACAGGATGTTCAGACCCCCCCCGCCCCCCCCCCCCCCCCCGGAGGAGCATTTAGCTCTAAAAGGGCCGGTTGCTCCTCTGGCCTGTTGATAAGAAGCCATGAAGTCTGATCTCTGGCGGGAAAAATACCTTTAAGTCACTTTTGATGGAATTTTTAAAAATCTTTTTTGGGGTCCAGAAGTTGGAAAAAGGGGCTCTGAAGGATGTAGAAAAAGCTGGCTCAGTGACTCGGTGGGTTTTTACCAGACAGTCGTGTAGATGTTGTGATGTAGCCCGTGAAGGAGGCTCTGCTCTACTTTTAACCACCATCTGACTGGAAGTTTCTCTCTTTTGATGCACTTTTTGTGTCCCGACTCCGAAGCTTCGCGGGGAAAAGCCAGAAGGAGCCCCGTTGATTCTGCTGTCCACGTCTGACAAACCACAACACGAGCGAAAGCAAGATGAATTCCCTGAAATCGGTTTTCCACAAGTTGCACAATTTTAGGATTATTTGTCCTTTTTTTCTTCTTTTTTTTGAGTTTGATCTCTGTCAAAGCACTTCATGTACAGTTTCATCAGATTTTCTTGGTTTTTAACAGTTTGTTTAATGTTTTTTTTCGTGTTTTCGTGTGTTTTTGTCCCTCCAGAACATTTCCAGAGTAAATTACATGGCACAGAGTGACGTTTCCTCCTTTGCTTTTTAAAGATTTTGCTGTGATGTTGCCCAGAGTTGGAAAGTTTTCCAAATTTGGGAGCTTTTTGACCAACTGGAGCCTTATCGAGCCAGGTCAGACGACCTCAGTTTTTCCTTTTTTTTTGTGTCTTTGCTTTCCCTCCATCCGGGATGATTTTCCACCTCTCTGATGTGACTGTTTTCCCTCCGTTTCTCTGACTTACTGCTGTTGTTTTCGACGATACTTCACCCCCTGGGGATGTTTTTGTCTTCCTTCTATAAGACCTCATGTGAGACTTTCAGTAAATGTTGTATCGGTGCCCTCAAATCTCTGCTTTCATTATCAAACGCAGGACTTGGGGTACATTTAAAATATATAGAGATGTGTGTTTTCCACTGAGAACGCAGCTGTGGTCATTTTAAATGACAGATTTTGTGTGAAGGACTTTTTTTTTAAGTCGTCATACTTTCTGCCAAGTTGATTTTTTTTCTTTTTTTTTTATTCGTATTTCATTTATGTGAAATAATCCTGTTTTTTAAATGTTACAAATCAGAGTTACAATAGAAAAAAGGCTGATGTTGGACTGATGACCGGGGGCACAGCAGAATGTGTCCACCGCTCCTCTCTGTGATTTCAATGTAAATGCTGGTTTAAATGAAGTAGCTATTTCAACACGGTTGGCTCCAAACAGCTCATCTGGTGTTTAAAAATGTCTGATAACACTTTGATTTCTCCTCCATTAACTTTTTATGAAATGTTTTGAAACGGTGAGAATAAAGCACCCGAACCTCGACATCTGCTTCCTCCCATTTTCTGTCTGTCCACGCGTTTGAAATCCTTTTTGCTATTTAGTTTAAAGGAGGCGGCTTCAGCTTAAAAAAGATAAAGTTACTGTAAAATGAAGTTGCAGTTTTTCAGTCAGATGGATTTAAAATAAACTTTTTGTCTTCCTGCTTTTGAGCAAAAATACAAAATCCATGAACTCGACCTCTTTGCTTAAAACTCTGCATGAAACATCTTGCTGTGGAAGCTCTCATCCGAACGTGTGAGTATCTTTTTATTTATAGGGAAAGCCTGCAGATGTTTTAAGGACTCTGAGATCTGCCCAGTTTTCAGCCAGCAGCTCTTTGGGAATCCTCAGAAATCAGGTTTCCTATATGTCAGACTGGGTTTTCTTTGGAGTTTTGCTTAAACTGTGTTCGAAATTAGCCGTTTTAGTCTGATCAACAGCCCAGTCGGAATAAAAACATTAATGTTGTAATCAGACTGTGCAAAAGGTTTGAGACGATAAACTGTAAAATACCCACTGTAAAATAAACTGTAAAATATCCACTCTGTGGAGGTAGTGAACACTTTTTCCTAGAAATCCAAGTGAACTTCTTATCTAAATCGATGTAACAAATGAGGAATAGATTACTCATTTTTACTGTTGGTTATAATAACTTCAGATTGGCAGCCAGGTCCACTTTTTACATTTCAAAAACAGATTTAATCTAAAGTTTGCAGTATGTTCATTACTCTTTTAAAATGTAAACTTGGGTAAGAAAAACTTGTTTGAAGATGTAAACATAAGAATAAGAATGATTATTAGATATGTGTCCATATAACATAGCTAAAGATACAATTTTAAATGGGTTTTTTTCCAAAGTTGTGTGTAAGGAATAGACGACACTGCCTCATCCCTTGAGTTAGGGGCCTTTTGTGCTGGAATAAGTCACACACCAGTGTCGTGCGAATTAAGAATAAAGACTGAAAAAAAAAAGACTTATTTTGTTTGGATAAAAGGATTTCGCTGAAAACAAGTAATGGCAGATACCAAGAAAAACCTTCAGAAAGTTGTATTACTGTTGCTCAAGGACATGAGGAAAGATCACAATAGACCTTTGTTGCTTGGAATTAAAACAGAAATCTGAGGAGCGTTCAAACATTTCTAAGTGAATAAAGCTGAAAACTGATGCCCAAAAATAAGTCCAGTGGTGTTTCATTTTAAAAATTAAAATAGGCAAAGTGTAGAGGATCTATTGAGATTTATTTTGGGGTGAAACTGGTTTGTTTGGGCTTTGACAAACGGGCTAAACAGCGCCCACTACCGGCAGAAATGCGACCTGGCTCCAGAGGCTCCAAGGCTGAAGAAGCAGATGGAGCCCACTGCGTTGCCAGGTTTGACAAAAGCTCCACACACCATCATTACTGGATCTATTTAACAGAAAATAATTATGTTATCAACGATCATTTCCTTAAGTACTTTCTAATTAACTATATGAAGAAACAGACGGGAACTTGTTTACTTTGTCTTCCTTTGTGCGTACGGGAGCCGGCGACTGCGGATTTATGGCGCGGAGGTAGCACAACCTGGCAACCCGTTGAAGCCAAACGTCAGTGTTCTGCGGCTGAACCGTTTAGTGACTTTGCTGCAAGCTTTTGTTCGCTGCGCGTCAAAGCTCGCACCTAACAGCTAAAAATACTCCAGTAGGCGGACATTAAGTGACCCAAACCAGCGGATAAATGTGACACCTCGGCTGTTGTTGACCACGGTGAGTACTGAGAGCTCACACACCAGAGGAAAGCCCTGCGCTGGGGCGCTAAGCTAGCGGCTAACGCTAGCCATGTGATCAACTATGGGCTAAAAATCTGTTAGCATGGCTGTTTGTTTACAAAAACAAATAGACAAAAGGCACCCCAGACCATGTTAGGTTTCCCCGCACTTATCTTTACGGTTTAGAAATCACAACCGTCCTCTTAGATATGGATCTCTTGCACCATATGTGTCAGTTTTCATGCTGGGGGGGCGCTTGTTTTGTTAGTTAGCTTAGTTTACTAACTAATTAACCTTTTTTTTGTTCCTTTCGCTGCACAATGTAAACTAAAGGCATGTGTGTGCTTTATTTATGTTAGATTTGAGATAATCTCTGCATAGTATTGACATAAGAATGCTTTAAATCTACTCTGCACTGGGAAATTGGTAAACGTTTACCCTCCTTTTTGTGACATTTTATTAACCATCTGTACTTTCTGTCGAGTTTCACCACATTTCACTGATCTCTCCTCTTTTTTTGTCTTTTTTTGTCGTCTGGTTTAATTAGAGTAGTTTCTTCTGTTTCTTTTCACCGTTGCCTGAAAATTTGACCGGTTTTTGTGAGTAGGCGTCATGTTGACACAAGTGGACCCAGCCCAAACCAGAGCGGCTGTTTGGCAGCCGGGGGCCGGCGGCCCTGCTGTCCTCTCTCCCAGCCAAAGATCCTGATCCCAGCCGGAACTGGTGTCTGATCCTCTTCCACACTGAGTAAACCCGCCAGGAGCTTTTAATGACACCATCTTCACCCTTAGCACCTATGCAGAGGCCTATCTGAAGCAGGTATCTGCTGTGTGATTAAGACCAAGCGGAGGTGGGCCCACACGCAGGCTGTGAAAGGGAGGAGGCCGGCTCTGTGTAACCACACATCTGTATGAGCACAATGGCTTTTTATGGCCTCAAAAAGGCGGCTTTTGTGCTATTTTAGCAAAGCTAAGTAACACAGTGCCTCTAAGTGAACAGATTTTCTCCGTTTGTGGTCTGAGGCAGGTTTGCTGGCAGCCAGCACCGACTGTTTACTGAAGATTAGCTGCAGGCTTCATGGTCATCATTCTCCCAACAACGAAGAAATACTGATTAGGCTTTTTACTGTGACTGGATTCAGGTCAATTAATTATTCTGCTGGGTTACTGTGATTGGAAAAAACAGTCGCTGTGGTGGACATCCACAAGACGGCAGAGCTTGACAAATAAAGTGTTAACAGAAACTGTGGTTTCATTCAGCTTTTGGGGGATTCTGAATGATTCAAAATGCCCAAAAAGATCTGTATAACAAAGCTGTTTCTATGATATCAGAAAGGAGAAAACAATCAGGATGCACGGTGTATTTACAGGTCAGGGCTTTCCGTCATTGGCTCCTGAGGTGGTTCATGACCAAAAAACTGGTTTCTTGCCGTCTCTTAAGTTGGACTCAGACGAGCTGCCGGTTCCATGTGGGAGAAGATTGAGATCGGCCGGCTCCAGTGAGCTTTGTCTGCTCACTGGTCTCTGAGTCTGTGTGTACTGGTTTGGGTTTAGGTGATCAGGCTGCACACTCACTTTCTTCTTCTCCCTCATGATGAAAAGGCTTTCTAAAATGACACTTAAACAGCGTTTACAGTGGCCTCCACAGAAGAAAGGAGAGGGTAGAGATATAACCTTTTGTTTAAGCGACACAGTAATTAGCAGCGAGTGTGACGCGTCGCCTCGGAGACGCTGAACAGAACTCAGACCCGTTTACACGCCACTTAGCCGGGTCCATCTACGTCTGCCTGCTTCTGCCCTTCAATCCACGTGTTTTAGCCTCTCTTTCAGTTTATCCAGCTCTGCCGGCCGCAGCTCAGCCGCGTTTCTGCTGAATCTTTGTGGTTTTAAAGCAGCTCAGCGTCATATTAGCCGGTCGGACTGGGCGCTATCTGGTGCAGAACAAAGCTGTTCCCTGAGGGCTGCACACACTCTGTAATGGGTGAAAGGAGGAGTGGTTGCCTCCCTTCCTTCCCTCTGGCACGGCAGAGGAAGCACTCCTGTTTCGGGCCGGTCTGCAGACGTCCAACACATGAGGGCTTCTGCTTCGACAGGCTTATGACCGGAGGCCAAAGGGGGCGGCTGAGTAGATTAGGCCTGCTGGATGAATCTGTCTTATCTGTATTCCTCATGTGTTTGCAGATTATTATCCAGGAGTCGCGGAGCAGTAAAACGGGGCAGTGGTTTATCGTCTGGAGGAGCTGGTGGGGGCTCTTCAACCAGTCTGCCGTTCAGCCTCCTTTAAAAAACAAAAGCTTCGGCCTTTTTTAAAGGAGTGGGTGCACATTAAAGAGTCGGAGCAGCTTTTAGGGACGATGATACGCTTTGGTAACTCTGCCCTGCAGAGTGTGTGTTAGCTGTGTGTCGCCTCTCTGGTTTTCACGCCTCCTCCTCCTCATGCATGCGGGTCCGCGCGGCAGATGCTTGTTTTGGTGGATTTGTTTGTTGCCCCTTTTTGGGTTTTGGGGACCTAGAGTTGTATTCTGAGCTGCTAAATGTGGGAGAATGGCTCTCTTTGTATGAAATCGCCCGGAGCATCTCTAAAAATGAAACATTTTCCTGTATATGAAGTTCTAGAAATGAAATGTAGAGGATTAGGAGGAAGTGGACGTGACTACAGATTAATAACAGATTTTTGTTACATTATAAGCTCTTTTACACCAGCTGTAATGAGGTTTGACACTTTTTCATATAAAGATGAATCAAAGCTTGATTTGTAAATTGGATTAAAAACACTTAGCTTTTTTGGTTGTTCGAACTAGTTGGAGACAGTCATTTTACGGTAGCCTTAAAGGGACATTTAATGCATTTGAAGGTGCCGTTTAGTGTCCTGATGGCGGTGGGAAGCCACTCGCCCGTCAGGACGTCTGTGTTGGAGCAGCTTTGTCTGCTGCCTGGTGGCAGCCGGCAGAACAGCTGAGCAGCCGGCAGGGCGTCCGTTTAGGTGCACTTTGCTTTCCTGAGACACCAGAGGAAGGCCAGGTTTCCCCCATTCGTTTCTCACAACTCTTTGGAACATTTTCTCTGCGAGCTGCCTGTAAACTGCATCTTTTACATTTGCTGCTGCCTCTCTAGTGGCAGAAATATCGTGGAGTCAGAACCATAATTAAGGTAGTTTTCATTTTTAAATTGCAGTTTGGGAAAAGTAAGCCTGCATAGCATCTCAATGCCTTGAATTTGGTTTAAACAGCCCAATTCCATGTGACTATATGATGAATAATGTGATTTTTCTTAGAATAAAAGGAGAGAAGAAGCAGATGTATAAGGGTGTGGGTGGGAGCCGTTTTCCTGGGAGCGCCAGCTTTGCTCATGGACTTGTTTTTCTCGTTTCCTTGCAGATAAAAACAGAAGGGACAGCTTCGGTGCTCCTGCCGCCGCCGCCTTTCCCCGCCGCCTTTCCTCGCCGCCTGCCTCCGCGCTCCATGTCTGCCTGCCTCCTCTGGTCATAACCATGGCGACGGTGATCCTGCTCCGGCCGTGTCGCTGAGCCGCCGCCGCCCCGCCGCCGCCGCACCATGGAGAGGAAACGCCGAAAGAAATCCGTCTAGCTCCCCGGCCTTTCGCAGAATGGACTCGTATCTGGAGCTGTGGACCTGAGCCTCCAGCAGGTGTTCGCCGCCCACAGTTTGCTTCCAAGCCCGACATGCTGCCGTTTCCCGTGTTGGCCTCCGTGCTCCTGGGGCTGCTGGCCGGCCTCCTGCCCGGTGCGGGGACGCAGCCGGAGCCGGGGGCCAGAGGCAGCCCCCCCCCCGCCAGCGGGGAGCCCCTCCCCCCGACGCCCGACGCCAACTGCTCCCAGCTCACCCTCAAACTGGAGTTCTCCTCCGAGGTGGTGGAACATGGTAGGAAATCACCGTCCTTAAACCTGTTTTCAAAGCTCCAGAAACACCAAAAACAAACCAAAAATAACTGGTTACCTGTAAGAAGCAGAGAATGGTCGGCTGGTTGCTGGTTCGAATCCTTCCTGGGTCACATGTCACAGCCCACGTTTCTCCTGAAGTGAGATAAAACATCTGGTAAACGGGTGAATGTCAAACATCTGGAAGGGACCCTAAAAGCAGCATTTCCTGTTTAAAATCCACATGAAGCTGCTGTAAACAAAAAGCCTAAAGACGCACTTAAAGATCAGTCCACTCATAGATGGAAAGAAACATAGATAGATAGATAGATAGATAGATAGATAGATAGATAGATAGATAGATAGATAGATAGATAGATAGATAGATAGATAGATAGATTGATTCGCAAAGGGAAATTAGGTCATTTTTCGAGTTATAAATGAGAAGTACATGCTTCTAACTTTGAGTTAGAAGATCGGTTCTGTCAGATAAGAAGATGCTGCCTTAACAGTGGTGTAAACTAACATGGAAATTAATGATGAAAGTAGATTTTTGTTAGTTATTTGTGCGCATAGTTGAATAATTGCTGGCATGTTGTTTTATGGTAGTAGTGACCGAACCGGCTGGGTCTTTGTAATGTCCTGGTACCGGTTCAGTGGATTCCTGCCTGTTTGGAAAGTCTGTTATCTCTCAGCATATTCATCAGCTTCGCCTAAATTGCATTTTCGTGTGTATTTTTGGACTCCTGGACTTTGAAAGACATGCGTCCAGCAAACGTGGCTCTCATCTCTAAACTCTCCCCCCTGCCTTCACAGAGTACATCGTGGCCTTCACCGGCTACTTCTCGGCCAGAGCCCGCAGCCACTACATCAGCAGCGCCCTGCGCAGCTCCGCCGGCGGCCTGCTGGAGTGGCACATCGTCTCCAGGGAGAACCCGGCCTCCCACTTCCCCAGCGACTTTGAGCTGGTGCACATCCGCCAAGCCCCCCCCGGCAGCCTGCTGACCTTAGAGGACCATCCCTACATCAAGAGGGTGACGCCCCAGCGCAAAGTGTTCCGCACCCTAAAGTACACCCCCGGTGAGTCTGGCGCTGAGGCGTCGCCGGGCGGGCTTCAGGCTCTCAGTGTGCTCAGGCTGGCTCGGCCCCCCCCCCACACGGGGTCGGCCCCAGAAAGACCCAGGAGGCCGCCCACAGAGCGCCTCTTTGTCCGGCTGAGGGCGCTTTGCTCTGCTGTGGGTGTGTGCTGCAGCCGGGGGCTGTGTGTCTTTATGAGGAAGGGGTGGGGGGGTACAGAGAGAGTCTGTTTGCTCCCCCAGGCAGGGAGCTGGTGAGTCAGTGTGACCTGAATGGGGGGGGGTCACAAAGTCTGACACAGTTTGACCATTTGGTCCATGATTTCACTTTAAATGAGACTTCCCTAAAAGAGATAGATAGATAGATAGATAGATAGATAGATAGATAGATAGATAGATTGACGAAGGGAAAGTTGTTCATTTTTCGAGTTCGAAAAATTATCCAGGTCAAGCTTAAAAGTCCAGTTCAGGCAGCAGGATGTGAAGTTTTCTATTAGATGTTTGGCTTCTGATCCATGAAGATTCTTCAGCTCTAACTGATGGTGGAGCTCTGAGGTTAATATAAATAATGTATAACAACCACCCAGGGAGCTAAGGCTTACTTGCAGGCAGCGGGTGTGAGCATCCCGGTGCACCGTGTGGAGTCACTGGAGGCTGGTGGTCATAAACCGGACGTCCAGCTTAAATAGAACTACAGTTCTCCTGGTCTGTTTATGGACCTCAGAACGACAGTCGTTTTCTGTGGAGCTGAAGCTTGTAAACGGGGTTGGGGATGTTGTAAAAGGATGTTATCATGAGCTTTATCAGTTGCCCCGGCTGGCTCTGATTGGCTGCACCCAGCCATAGATAGCAGGATGTGTTTGGCATCCTTATCAAATAGGACATTCAGCCAGAATCAAAGCCTCTGAGTCCGAGGAAAAAGACCCAACAACTAAAAGAAACTACTAATGATTAAAATAATATTAATTAAAATCCTAAATGCAGCAGATATAACCAATTAAAATAATAATAATAAAAATCCTAAATGCTGCAGAATTAACTAATTGAAATAATAACAATTCAAATGTTAAATGCTGCACAATTAACTAATTAAAATAATAACAATTCAAATCCTAAATGCTGCAGAAATGACTGACAATTAAAATAATGATAATTAAAGTAATAAAATCTTCTGAAATAAGTAATAATAAATTGATAATAATAAAAGTCCTAACTCCGATCCCCCTCTTTGCTGCTCCCCCCTTCAGCCCCAGAAGCTGCCGCTGCGCCCTGCAACGCCTCGGCGGGGAGCCCCAGGTGGCCGTCCTGGCAGTCGTCCCGGCCGTTCAGGAGGAGCAGCCTGTCTCTGGGATCCGGCTTCTGGCACGCCACCGGCCGCCACTCCAGCCGGCGCCTGCTGCGCGCCATCCCCCGCCACGTGGCCCAGATCCTGCAGGCCGACGTGCTGTGGCAGATGGGACACACCGGTGAGGAGGAGCGCTTAGGGGGGGTGCAGCTCGCCTTTTAACGCATGCTAGCAGGGCTGCACCACGCTTAAAGGGACACTGTTTAGTATTTTAAGTATTTTATTAGCTAAAACCATGTTCTTCCTTTATAAATGTGTCCTCATTTGGTGTAAAATGACCTCTGCAACGATCTGACTTCTCCTCATAAGTGAAGAATTTCCTATCTGTATATAAATAAGACGGGTAAGTCCAGGGAGGTTTCCATGGCGACCCGCCATTTTGAAAAACTTTAATGGCAGAGAGGGACATAAAGCACTAGTCTGCCTGTCTAGGCTAGTAATGCTAAGTCACATACAAAAAAACAAGCTAACATGGCAACGTAATTCGCCCTCTTGTTCGAGGAGGAATTACATGGGTTAGGGTTAGTTAGGGTTAATGATTCAGTGCAGTTTGTAATTTCTTTTAAATTACAAACCTCATCACCAGAGAAAACTCCATGATGTGGAAGTCATGTTGTCATGACTTCTCGATGCCTGACAGCTACCGTAGCTGTAATACCCATTTGAAAACGGAGGCGCTAGAGAGCAGATTTGTTAGGATGCGGAATACAGTTTCACCCTTAGATGGAGAAATTCCTACACCGGGAAGCTTTAAGACAATCTGGACTGTTATCAGGTATTGTTCCAAGGTGGTTGAACGACCTGTCGGTCTTCATAAACTCCTACAGACCCCCCTCTCCACAGAGCAGCTCCTATCCTAACTCCTCCCTAGACCTCTGTACCCTCTACTCCTCTTTCTCTTCCCTCCATCTCCTTCTGTCTCCACTGACTGACTGGGGATTTTCCTCCAGAGATCTGATTGTCAGATTGATGAGAACTGGAACATTGTCTGCTTTAAATGCATAAACAGAACCACACACACAGGCCAGCCGAAGGCCGGTGGGGGCTGATGCTCCGCCCCCTGAGGCTGACCGTGGCCCTCCCTCTGTGCAGGCTCGGGCGTGAAGGTGGCCGTGTTCGACACCGGCCTGAGTGAAAAGCACCCGCATTTCAAGAACGTGAAGGAAAGGACCAACTGGACCAATGAAAAGACGCTGGACGATGGTGAGAGCCCCCCCCAGAGTTACTGCTAGCTGACGAGTTCCTGTGGTCACGATAAGGGACTGAGGGACAATAAAAAGCCCGAACACTGTTCAGTTTAGATAAGCGTTATCTCAGACTGTAATGGCCGACTGAATCCTCCTACCTGGTCCACAGGCACCGCTCCCCTCTGGAGCTCGTAGAAACATTTAATACTCTATTATATTAGAGATTTCTATTTTTAGTTAATCTTTGATAAATTTCTGTGGCTCAGCAGCAAAGAGCAGATTTAAACGGTTGATTTTAGGACCAGATTTGAGGACCCTGATTGGAGGGCCATCTGGTGAGTGTGTGTGTCTGTGTTAATGCTGAAAGTCGTACAGTGTAAAGCTTTGAGGGGTCAGTTGGACTGGAAAAGTTCTTTATAAGTGCGGGTACATTTACATTTAATACGGTGAATCTCTTCCTAATGTTAGGTGTTTGTCTTAGTTTGCTCGTTAGTTGTTGGTACACTTTGTTTTTGTGTGCGACGGTGTTGAGTCGGTGGTGGAAGCGGGTGTAAAGCGTGCTGTCCTGTTTTCAGGCCTGGGCCACGGCACATTCGTGGCAGGCGTCATAGCCAGTATGAGGGAGTGCCAAGGCTTCGCCCCCGATTCCGAGCTGCACATCTTCAGAGTGTTCACCAACAACCAGGTAGGACGCACATTCACTGTACTGGCCTGTGTGGAAAATAACCAGAAATCCTGAGCTAAGGCATCAGGTTCTGGTCTCAGGTTTGGTTTGAATGCGCCCTGATCCATTAGAGTCGTCTGTTTCCCGCCCTGCAGGTGTCGTACACCTCCTGGTTCCTGGATGCTTTCAACTACGCCATCCTGAAGAAGATCGATGTCCTGAACCTCAGCATCGGGGGTCCAGACTTCATGGACCATCCCTTTGTGGATAAGGTGGCTCCTCCTGGGTCTAATTCAGTCTAATCTGGGTCATAGAAGTAGCTCTTAAAGCAGCCCTGCCTCCGTTCTGACCCAAAGCCGTTTGGATTTTCCAGCACCTCAGATGAAGCAAACCTGTGAGGGTTTAGTTAAACCACTAAAAACCTCTGACTCTCTTCTGTTTGTGGGTGTGACCCGCAGGTGTGGGAGCTCACAGCCAACAAAGTCATCATGGTGTCGGCCATCGGCAACGACGGACCTCTGTACGGGTATGTGGGTCTTTGCTTCCAGACCTCTGGTCCTGCTTGTCTGATGAAGTTTAGCACGGGATCTAAGACCAAACGCCGGACCTTGTTGTTATGAGCTATGGGTTAGTGGGCTGGGTTGAACAGAGCCGGTCGGGCATCAGGTCAGGATGCATTCCTGCTGCCTCCCTGGGGTGTTGTCGCCGACGTGCCCCGACTGGAGGAGCTCCTACAGAGGCGGGGGGGGGCTTTGCTACATACACTGCCCGGTCTGACACGCAGTTAATGTAAGATCCAAAAAGCTTTCTTAATCCTGAGGGAAAACTGCTTGAGATACAAAGGTGAAAGGAGATAAATAAATTAGCTAAAGTCGTGGACAATTGTTTAAAGTGAGGAGCGCAAAATTATAGCAGCATTTTAAAATACAAAAAACAAGTAATTACAGAGAAATATAAATGATAGGTGACTAGTAATAAAGTGATAAGTGACACCACACAGTATCTAGACTGTCCCTGTCTGGGCTACAGGTGGTTCAGTTAAACAGTCTGCTGTCTGCCAACATTTAGGATTTAATTGTTATTTTAATTATTATTTATTTCTGCAGCATTTACAATTTTTATTATTATTATTTTAATTATTAGTTATCTCTGCAGCATTTAGTATTTTGATTATTTGTTGTTGCTGTATTATTTAGGATTTTAACTTGTTTTTAGACTGTAAAGTTTGAGCACAATTAGCAGAAAGCTCTGTTTTTCTGAAAGTGCTGAAGTTTACAGTCCGTTGAGATGAATCAGCCTCTTTACGCCCTGCGTCCTGGTTTCAGCACCCTGAACAATCCAGCTGATCAGATGGACGTGATCGGAGTCGGAGGGATCGACTTTGAAGACAACATAGCAAGATTTTCCTCCAGAGGCATGACCACCTGGGTGAGCCGGACAGCCTGTCCTCAGTCTGCTCACTTCTGTTTTTCAGTCCGATTAAGACTTTTCTGAAAAGCTTCTTTTTTTTTTTTTTTACCTCCAGAGCACACTTAGTTCTTTGGATGTTTCAGTTTTGTTGTTATTAGAACTGCCCCCTGATCAGTAATCAGAGAGGGAGGCTCAGATGAAACGGCTCCTTTCCTGTTTGTTCAGGAGCTGGCAGCATGTGTTTCTGAGGCCAGTCAGTGAAAGCTGCAGCCACAAAGTCTGAGCGGAGCAGCCGGCATGCGTCCGGTTCCGGTTCAGCTGAAAGAGAAAGAGCCCAGCTGCCGTCCACAGGCTCCCTACTGGGCCTCAGGCTCCAGAACCAGGGGACTAATCTGGGAGGCTCGGCTATGACCTGAAACTAAACCGATCGGTTCAATTCCTCAGTACTTTGGCGACTAATCAGTAAATCTGTCGACAAAAAGATGAAGAGCAGACGTTTGACTCCTAGGAGGAGATTCCAGGTCTGTGTGCGAGTCCTCCACCTGGTCTCCTTGAGTTGTGATGAACAGATTTACATAAATAGAGAAACACAGAACAGACCAAATTTAGAGCAGTCGGCCGGGAATTAGTGGAGCTTAATAAACCCCTTTCCTCTGAAAAGGAGGCACCCCATAAATGCATGTGGAGAAATCAGCAGGCTACCGAGCGTTTTGGAAATGTCTCAGTGATGTAATTTGCTTTCAAAACCGGGTCAGCGACTGGAAAAAAGGGTTTGAAAATATGGGTCAGAGTGGATGATTCACAGGATGTTTCCAGAGATCCAAAGTGTTTTTCTGTGGCCCTGAACCTTCCCTCTATGTCCAGGAGCTGCCAGGGGGCTACGGCCGAGTCAAGCCCGACATCGTCACCTACGGCTCGGGCGTGCGGGGCTCCGGCATGAAGGAGGGATGCCGCTCGCTGTCGGGCACCAGCGTGGCCTCCCCGGTGGTGGCAGGCGCCGTCACGCTGCTGGCCAGGTCAGGACGGGCGGGGGGGCTCAGGAAGCCTGTTTGCAGGGCAGGCGCACGTGTGCAGAGATGTGAAGTTTTCAGATGGATTTGCACGCTAACTCAGTACAGTAAAACCTCAAGATAGGAATTTAACTGGTTCCAGGACCTACTTCCTATGTTAAAATAATCATATGTTGGTTCAAATATTCCCATCAGAATACACTGTAATTGGTATAATTGCTTCCACAGCCCAAAAACCTCCGATAACTCCTTAAATACTGCAGATAATTACACATAGCAATAAAATAAATGCATTATATAAGAGAGATGTAAAAAGAATTGATTACAAAGAAATAATCAATAAAAAGGGACTGAGATAACTTTCACGATAACTTTCTAACTTTCACTACCTGAACTTTAAACTAACTTTGCTTATTTATTTTTATAAAATTTTTACATTTTATTATTTTTATTCTACGACTTCAACGTCATATGTTGGAAATTGATCGTAGGTAGAGCTTCTGCTGTACTGAGAGCATGTTTGTGCTTGGCTGGTGAGTCTCATGTGCCTTCATATGCCCTCTGGGGCTCGGCTCTCCCTCTGAGTGCGGCTGCTGCTGTTGTCCTGCGAAGGCTTTGACATCAGAGGACACATGTAGTCCAGCGCTGAGGCTCCCCGGTTTAATTACCTCTGGGTTTGTAATCCGACGCGAGCCGGTGGAGGAATGCCTCCCAGAGGACGGAGGCGTGCCGCTGATTAATGCCTGGTGTTATTCCCCGTCTGTCGATACGCCCTGAAAGCCTTTAGCAGAGCTGCAGCCGGGCTGATTTGTTGCTGCATTAAGCCTCGCACGGACAGCTCACTCAAACCCTCTGCGCCCCCCACCCTCTGTCCACAGCACCGTCCTGAACCGGGAGCTGGTGAACCCGGCCTCCATGAAGCAGGCTCTGATCGCCTCGGCCCGCAGGCTGCCCGGGGTCAACATGTTTGAGCAGGGCCACGGGAAACTGGACCTGATCCGGGCCTACCAGGTCCTGAACAGCTACAGGCCTCAGGCAAGGTACGCGTCTCTGCTTACAGGGCAGGCAGCAAACAGGAGCCGGCAGACACACCCCAAAGTGAACTGTGGAAGAGACCCGCCCATAGAAAACACATACAAACATATAAAACACATAAAAGGCATACAAGACATATAAAAAACACGTAAAACGCATGAAAAACGCAAACCATATCAAATTGATACAGAAACACATACAAACACATTAAAAAACATATAAAACACAGAAAAACATACAAACACATCAAAATGCATAAAACACATACAAAACGTATACAAAAATGTACACAAATACGTACAAAAACGCATACAAATACACATAAAAACACAAAACATGAAACAGATACAGAAAAACATACAGAACACAGATATCATGCACAGATTTTAGAAGCCATATTTTCTTAATAATGTCTCAATAATCCCCTCTAATTAACCTCTAACTGCTCCCCCCAGCCTGTCTCCCAGCTACATCGACCTGACGGAGTGTCCCTACATGTGGCCCTACTGCTCGCAGCCCATCTACTACGGGGGCATGCCCACCATCGTCAACGTCACCATCCTCAACGGCATGGGGGTCACCGGCAGGATAGTGGACAAGGTGAGCTGCCCCAGGAGGCTCTGCCCCCCCCCCTCTGTGGAGCGAGGCTCACCGTGTGCTCTCCTCTCCCCCGTCCAGCCCATCTGGCAGCCGTACCTCCCGCAGAACGGCGACCACATGGACGTGGCCATCTCCTACTCCCCCGTGCTGTGGCCGTGGGCTGGATACCTGGCCGTGTCCATCTCCGTGGCCAAGAAGGCCGCGTCCTGGGAGGGCGTGGCCCAGGGCCACGTGATGGTGACGGTGGCCTCGCCCGCCGAGAACGACGTGAGCTCGCTTTTCCCAAGCCGATTCAGCCCTGTGTGTGTGTGTGTTATGGAGGCTGGAGGGGATCTGAGATTTAGAGATGTGCAAATCCCAGCCTGGATACCAGATGTGTCCAGTTTTTCTGTGGACACAGGCTGCTTTTTCAGTCATTTGCAACCAGTCTGTGCACTGGAAACAGACCCCTCTTTTTTTTAGCTATTGGACATATTAAATTACCTGATTTTAAACCTGATTTGAGCTGAATTTGCTGCAGTGGAAGAATTTTCTAAATTTGAAAGGCCTAGCAACTAGATTTGACATTTAAAGCAGTCGGCATTTGGCTTCCTGAAGGTCTTTTAGAGTTTTTCTTTGGACCCAGGCTGCTTTTTCAGTCATTTCCAACCAGTCTGTGTTCTGGAAACAGAGCCCTAACTCAAGGGATGAGGCAGTGTGGACAGAGGAGGGAGTCACAGGCAGCAGCAGCATCCCGAGCAGAGCTTTGGGACATTAGAGCTGTTCCTGGAGACTCCTTAAAGAGGAGAGGCTCCAGAATAAAGGAGCTCTGAGCAGAGAGGAGGCTTTCAACTGCCTAAAACTGGGACAAATGTCTGTCCGCTGTTTGCAGTCGGAGGTCGGAGGGGAGCTGACGTCCACGGTCAAACTGCCCATCAAGGTGAAGATCGTGCCCACGCCGCCCCGCAGCAAGCGAGTTCTGTGGGACCAGTACCACAACCTGCGCTACCCGCCGGGCTACTTCCCCCGAGACAACCTGCGCATGAAGAACGACCCGCTGGACTGGTGGGTTTGGCTCCGCCCGCCGCCCGCCGCCATCGGCCGGGAAGGTGCTGAGTGTGTCCTGTCTGTTCCCAGGAACGGAGACCACATCCACACCAACTTCAGGGACATGTACCAGCACCTGAGGAGCATGGGCTACTTCGTGGAGGTGCTGGGGGCCCCCATCACGTGCTTCGATGCCAGCCAGTACGGTAGGAGAGCAGAGAGCAGAGGGGCGGAGCCAGCCAACAGCCGGAGGCCCAGGCTTTAATGGTTGACCGCCCCCCCTGCCCCCCCGCAGGCACGCTGCTGATGGTGGACAGCGAGGAAGAGTACTTCCCAGAGGAGATCACCAAGCTGAGGAGAGACATCGACAACGGGCTGTCGCTCATCGTCTTCAGCGACTGGTACAACACCTCAGTGATGAGGAAAGTCAAGTTCTACGACGAGAACACCAGGTAGGAGGCTGCCGCCGGCCGGTCCCAGGCCTGATCAGAGGCCAGTCAGAAGCCAATCAGAGGCCAGTCTGCAGACTGGTCAGAGGCCGGTCCGAGCCCCAATCAGAGGCCAGTCAGAGGCTGGTCCGAGGCTGAGCCACTCTGGGCCAAACACGGCGTGAAGCGCTCAGCTTTTGGGCGCCGCAGAAGCTGGGCAGCTTTCTGGGCTCCGATTGGATGACTGGCTTCCTCCCTGTATCTGTATTTATTATCCCGCCTATGCTCCACACCTGGTCGTATTTCAGCCCCTGAGACCGTTCGTCCCCCATGAAGCACGACGGCCCCGTCGCCCCCCCAAAGCCGCTCCTGTAAATCACAGACCTAATAAACGCTGAGAATAAAGATGTGCTGACTCCAAAGGCCGCGCGTGTTTTATGCTCCCGACTCCTTTTGGAGTGAGTTTGAATCTGCCGAGTCAGCGCTTCGCCCGCAGACAGCCGGAGAAAGGAGCGGAGGCTTTTTGACGGATGGCGAGCAGCTCAAACTTTAGGAGCGTTTGTTCGACGCTGCGCCCCGATTGGCCGCTCCCTGACTGGCCAGGACTTAGTCCAGGATTACCCACAAGATTCTGCGCCTGATTTTTAGGTTCCAGAGAGAGTCTGAAGGTGACTTATGACACTTTCTTGGATGGGAGTTTAGTCTGGGTTTAGGGCCGAGTGTCAGCCATCCGTCAGGGGGCTGCTTTCAGCAGGAGCTTCATGGGGTTATAATGATGGCAGCTTTATTTATGCCTCCTGCTGCTGTAATGGCTGTCATACATCACAACTTTTCAGATTCAGAGCTCCTGGTGGGGAGATAACCGTTACTCAGCCGGCCCCATTCATTCCCCGCCCGAGCCGCTGCGGCCTCCGGAGAGCGGGAGGCTTTAAAAACGCCAGGATTCAGTCTTTAAGGCTGCCAAACATTATCGCCGAGCAATTTGGTTTTAACGGACTGGAAATGGGTCATTTTCTGTGGGAGCTGCTGTTTTGTCTTGGGCCAATCAAAGAGAGACTGAGCAGGAAAACCTTTTTTAATTGATTTATTGATTTATTTTTTCTATGACTTCGACGTTGGAAATTTACTTTCACTTCGGATGTTGGATCATAGGTAGAGCTTCGGCTGTACTTGGAGTTTTTCCTTCTTTCTTATTGGTCCGTCACTTAGTACTTTTTCGTTGTACTATTTGCAGGTCACAGACACTGAGAGCACCCCTGCAAATCCCTTACCGCTTTCTTTTTGGCTCTGCTGCTGTAACGTGTGGATATCCCCGCTCTGGGGTCATAAAGTCCTGATCTGAGCTGTTATCTGTGTGCTCCCGCTTGCAGGCAGTGGTGGATGCCGGACACGGGGGGCGCTAACGTCCCGGCTCTGAACGACCTGATCTCCGTGTGGGGGATGGCCTTCAGCGACGGGCTGTACGAGGGCGACTTCACTCTGGCCGATCATGACAGTAAGTCAGAGGCCCGGCGACGCCCCCCCCGCTGAGCGCCGCCCATTAAAGGGACATTGTTTATTATTTAAAGTATTTAATTTAATTTATAAATGTGTCCTAATTACCTCAGCAATGATCTGACTTCTCCTCATAAGTGAAAAATTTCCTATTTGTACATACACAGGACGGGTGAGTCCACTGAGGTTTCCATAGCGGTCCGCCATTTTGAAAAACTATAATGGCAGAGAGTGACATAAAGCACTAGTCTGCCTGTCTAGCTGATCCACAACATGTTTTCCTTCAGAGTCACGTGACTGAAATTTCTTTTAAAGCAATTTTAAAAAAATATTGCAATTTTCCTTTAAATTCCAAACCTCATCACCAGAGAAAACTCCATGATGTGGAAGTCATGCTGTCATTACTTCTTGATGCCTGACGGCTACCGTAGCTAGAAAACGGAGGCGCTAGAGAGCAGATTGGTTAGGATGCAGGACATAGTTTCACCGTCAGATGGAGGAATTCTTACTCCGTGTCCCTTTAAACGCCTGTCTCCCTCAGTGTACTACGCCTCGGGCTGCAGCATCGCCCGCTTCCCAGAGGACGGGATCGTCATCGCCAAGAACCTGAAGGACCAGGGTAAAGCTAATGCTAAAGCTAACGCTAACACCACCGCTGCCTCTCTGCCCGTCTGAGCGTTCTGACCGCGGCCGGCCTGTGCTGCCTTTACAGGCCTGGAGGTGTTGAAGCAGGAGACGGCCGTCGTGGAGGGCGTTCCCATCCTCGGACTGTACCAAACGCCCTCGGACGGCGGGGGTCGCATCGCCCTGTATGGGGATTCGAACTGCATAGACGACAGCCACAGGCAGAAAGGTGCCGCCCCCAGGCTCCTCCTCCTCCCGGGCCAGCCGGGTTCAGCCCTTTTCTGCCCCCTGGCTCATGTGTCGGCCTCTCTCTGTGTTCCCGCAGACTGTTTTTGGCTCCTGGATGCCCTGCTGCAGTACACCTCCTACAGCATGACCCCGCCCAGCCTCAGCCACTCCCACAGCAGGGTGGCCCCCCCCACGGGGGCAGACCGCCCGCTGCCACAGAGGCTGGAAGGTACTGAGAGATGAACCCGGATCCTGCCCGGTCTGGGGACCCGTTTACCAAACGGAGGGAGACCTGGTCTGTGTCCTGTACTCAGGAAAACCCACTGACCAGTAACCCCCCCCAGCTTCTGGCTGGGGGTCCAGTCTGATTCCACAGCCTTTAGTCTAGTTTATACAGCAAAAAACAGACATTTCCACAAATGATTCTCTTTGTATTTTCAAATAAATGCAGGTTTGCCTGTGAGATAAAAGGGAAACACAGACTCTTGAAACGGTTCAAAAGGGTTCAAACTTCATCTAAGTGGGATGGTTGTGAGAAGTGGGTGCTTTGTGGAATGTAGCAGGTTTTACAGAAGCTCAGGTTTCTATTGTCGTCTAGTGGGAGGATGTCTGGATTCAGGGTCTGTTTTTGGATGACGGGTTATTTGCCGGTCGGCAGCCTGTGCCTCACGCTGTCCTGTCCTCCTCCAGGAAACCACCTCTACCGCTACTCCAAGGTTCTGGAGGCCCACCTGGGGGACCCGAAGCCCCGCCCCCTGCCCGCCTGCCCCCACCTGTCCTGGGCCAAGCCGCAGCCCCTCAACGAGACGGCGCCCAGGTGAGCGAGCCGAGCCCGAGCTGCTGGGGGGGGGCTCTGAGTCCTGGGGGGCAGGGGGGGGGGAAAGCATCTCACATCTGGACTCTGCTCTGTCCGCAGCAACCTGTGGAAGCACCAGAAGCTGCTCTCGGTGGACCTGGACAAGGTGGCGCTGCCCAACATGAAGGCCTACCGGCCCCAGGTCAGGCCTCTGTCCCCGGGGGAGAGCGGGGCCTGGGACATCCCCGGAGGTAACAGCGCCCCCTGAACCCCGCTTTACTTCTGCTGCACCATCCTCCTCATCATCACTTACGGATGAGATCTATTGGATTTAACATGTTTGGACATTTTTGTTTTCTGTGTTCTGCTGCTGATCAATAATTCAAAGATGGAATGATCTTACACGGTATAAATTAGCTTTTGAGCCGCTAAATGAGATGTGAGTGTGAAACCCTTATGGTAGTTTTCTGTAGGTGAGGGCTGCCGTATCAGCAGGTTAGCACTTTCATTCTACACAAAGTCACATTTCATTTAGTTTTTCAGCACAGATCCTAAGATTCCTACTCTATGTTGGTCTGTTCTTAAAGCCTGAAGAGTCCAGTTCAGGAAGCTGGAGGTGAAGTTTTCTATTAGATGTTTGGCCTCTGATCCAAGAAGCTTCTTCAGCTCTAACTGATGGTGAACCTGACTCTGCATTTTTATTCATTGTTTTGCCGCTCCTTTATTTTTATTTTTTTTCTTCTTTCACTTATTTTTGGCCGTTTAGGGACCAGAGCCACCTTTGGTTTCCCCTAATTGTTTAGCTCCACCTACAGTATATTGACCTCAGAGCTCCACCATCAGTTAGAGCTGAAGAAGCTTCTGGATCAGAGGCCAAACGTCTAATAGAAAAGTTGCCTAAACTGCACTTTTCAGGCTTGATAAGGATGATGAGGATCCTCACAGACGTCTGTTCTCTAAACATGAAAAAGGGCATTTGTCACAGTTGATTAGACTCACTCCACCACAGCTGGCTGAGGCCTTGATAGGGGACTCTGCACACTTAGACACCATGTGACCCTCAGCTCTGCCCCCCCCCCCTCAGGGATAATGCCGGGCCGCTACAACCAGGAGGTGGGCCAGACCATCCCCGTCTTTGCCTTCCTGGGGGCCATGGTGGTGCTGTCCTTCTTCGTGGTCCAGCTCACCAAAGCCAAGAGCAAACCCAAACGCAGGAAGCCGCGCATCAAGCGCCCCACCTACCTGCAGCAGCAGCAGGCGGCGGCGGGGGGGGGCAAGGCGCCCGCCGTCTGAGCGCCGTCTGGACGCCACCGCCCCGGTCCTGTGCCTCTTTGTGTGGACCAATGGACAGAAAACACACACCTGGACCTGAACACGCCCCCGCCCACCCCCCCTCCTCCTTTACGACCAAACGCCTTCTTTACTAATGAACATCTGACTTTAATATTTATTGAATTTGTTTGTACAGCCGGAGGGCAGCCGGGTCAAAGGTCAGGCGGAGTCCGCTGCGGGGTGATCCTGAGTCGTGCCCACCTCTGTGTCTTTTCATTGTTTTTATATTTTCTATGATGAACGGCCTGCGCAGGCCGGCTGCCGCTCACTCAGTGTCGCCCACGGACTCCCCAGATATATCTCATCCATTAAAAAGCATTACCAAAGTTCCCTGGGCTGCTTTCTTCAGGAAAATGGTCAAAGGTAAGGCCACATGTTTGGTTTTGAACCAGATTTTAACAGTAAATCTGAGGACAAAGGCTTTGAGTTAATAATCATAGATAATACGTTTTATTAGAAGGTGCCTTTCTCGACACTCGAGGACAAAGATACACAAAAATGCATTAAAAGAAACAACAATAAAGATCAATAAAATAGACAGAGGCAATGGCCATATCAATAGGCCTCAGAATGAAAAGGCCATCTTAAACAGATGTATTTTGAGTTGTGATTAAATTTGGTGCAGCAAGTCCATCTGAGAAGATTTTGAATATTTTCCCTCATTTTTTAGCTTCATATGATCCAGTCATGTCAGTCCTAAAAGGCAAGAGATTGTAGATTTTTTTCCTCTCTAAAGCAGGAAGCACAAACGTTCAGCGTTTGAAGCAGAACCCATCCGATGGTTACAGGTATTAACCCTAAACTGGTTCAGTTCCCCGGCAGCTGCTGGGAGGTGAGCTGAGCAAAAGGAGGAGACCGGCCTGTGACTCTGCATCTGTCCGTTAAAATTCTTTCTGTGATCAGAGGGCGGGTGGGCCCCCCCCCCCCCCCCCCCCCCCCCCTCGGGGTCAGGGGAGGCTGTGGGCTGAATCCAGCGATGCGGGCTGATTTCATTAGAGGCGATGTGTGCCGGTGTGCTCAGAGTCTGAGCTTTGGCTCCTTATCTGAGCCTAAGCACCAGATCGGCCTGTGAATCTGTCACCTGTCCGCCTGGATGACGGCACCACTCGCCGGCTAATCTCCGCCGGACCTTGGGAAACTGGGAAATGACCCCGGAGCCAGCTAGTCCCGCTAACAAGATTTGGGAAAGCCGGTGGTGAGTGGAGGTCACATGCCCTCTTTCCCTCCGAGGTTCCCAGATGGAGGGACTTCCTTTTCGGCCAACCAGGTCACCTGGAAGGAACAAGGCGGCGGCGGGGAGCTGAATTCTTCTGTCCCATGAGGCTGTCCTGTACCACTCGTCCTGCTCACATGTCCCACAGCCAGCCGGTGGCCCGTCCGAGTTTTACAGTTTTTTTTTTTTTTAGAGTTTCTCTGAGCAGAACAGAGTAAGAAGCGTCGGCTCTTTTCCAAGTTTTAGAGCTGAATCCAACAAAACTACGATCAAATTAAGCACAGATGAAGAAATCTTGGCTGCTTCCACAGGAACTCACAGAGTTTGAGCAGCAAGTCTGAGCATCTCTGCACCATCTCTAGCAGCTCAGAGGTCAAAGGTCAGGGCAGCCTGAGCAGGTGGGTCCATTTGGGCTGGAGGAGAAAACTTAAGCTGGTAGCTGGGCTCAAGTCTGAACAAAGAATCACAGAAAGCAAACATTGCATTTAAACGCATCTCCAAAATCGCTTTCTTACTAAAAAATAAACAAATATTGTTGGATTTGAATTTAAGCTTAAGCCGAATTGTTAAGAATTATTTAAAACACGACTCGGCAGCAAAGCTGATTATTTAGAAAGTATTTTCATTATGTTTGTTTTTCCTTCTGCCTCCTCTCTTTCCCCTCAGAGCTGGAATCTGTTGCTCTCTCACGCACTGTACAGCAGGAAATTGATTCCTCCTCCCCACCTCCCCCCTAATTTTCATCCATGAAATTAAAAATCAGAAACCCATTTTCAGAGGCCAACTCGAGCAACACTGACTGCTGCGTTTCTTCTCAGGCGTTTGTCGAGCACTCGTTTTTTTTCTGCAGAACGATGGACCGAAGGCGGCCGACAGCAAAACACGGCCAAAGCTTTGACAGAACAGCAAAACCTTTTCCTTTGTTCTCCGGCTTGCTTTTGCTATCAAAACAAGCAGAAAAGACAGAATGGGACCAGTTCCTGAGCTTCATCTCTTCTGCTGCCACTAGACCAGTAGCTTTCCCTAAAAGCTAAATGGGTTCACTTTGGTTATGGGGATGTGGTGGCACTAGACACTTAGGCTTTTCTGAGTAATCTGAGTAATCAGTTCACTCTCAGTTTTCCCCCTGAGGACGGTTTCTGCTCCATCAAATTATGTTACAGGTGTAAAATGCCTGTATCAAACAATAATTGCCAAGGCTTATACTACAGGAGCATAGATCAGTGACTCCTTAAAACATCTGAGGAAACTGGACCAGTGGAGGACAGAAGAAGAAGAGCTGGGCCTGAAAAACTCTCAAATCCAGCAGATGAAGAGGACCTGAAAGTGAGGTCCTTCAGAAAGAGGAGCAGATCCAGCAGAGAGCTGAACAGGAGCTGAGAGCTGCATCTGGACCTCCAGCTGACCATCTCCTGAAAGGACACACAGCCGGAGGAGAAATCATTCACTTTCACTTTTCTCTGTTTTTATCTTTATTTCCAGTTTTATGTTTGTCTATTCTTTGCTCTACACTTCACTGCATACATCCTGTGCTTTAAATCCTTTATCCAAACAACAGTAACATTTATTTGAACATAAAACATTTAATTTAAAGCTCAAAAAAACGCAGGTTGCACGATTTGCAAACTTCATCCGTAAAGGAAAGACGCAAAAAAGTTTAGTTTCCGAGCCGTGCTGGAAGGCAGCAGCTTCCCTCCCCTCCCCTGTCCTCCCATCCCCTCCCCTCTCCTCTCCTCTCCTCCCCTCCCCTCCTCCCCCCTCCAGCCGCCTCTCCCCGCGCCCCGGCCGGCCGCGGGTCCTCAGAGTGCCTCCTGGCGCACGCTGCGCTCCGCCGGCTGGATCATGGAGGAGTTGGCCAGAGAGAGCATCAGCCTGCTGGCGTCAGCCTCCGCCAAGCCGCCGCTGGACGCCGGGCCCCGGCTGGGCTCCACGGGGGCCGTCTTCATCATGCTGAAGTCCGCCCTGGGCGCCGGGCTGCTCAACTTCCCCTGGGCCTTCGAGAGAGCCGGGGGCGTGCGCAGCGCCGTGACCGTGGAGCTGGTGAGCGCGGCTCCGGATGCCCTGATCGTGGAGGTTTTTTTTGGCTCAGATCGGTCCAGATCTGCTCCAGCTGACCGGAGGGCCTTTTCCACTGATATTTACCTCTCACTTTCGATAAGGATTTAATCACCAGAGGATCAGAGGAAGCGTCACAGGTTTCTGGCTGCTCTCCTCACTAACTTCCAGTCTGTAAACAGGTAGTTCAGATCAAATGTCCAATGCAAGCTGCTTAGAAATGGACAAATTCTGGGTTAGAGGTGGATCAAAGAGTTACCTCCCTCTATTTTCTGTGTGAGGAGCAGTCAGCTCCCCAGCTAATGGTATTTATAATTATTCATAATTCCATTTGGTGCCACTGAAGTGAAACCAGATAAAAGTTTCTGGCCAGGAGGGAAGTCTCCCTCCTGTTTGGAGGTCTTTTCCTCCTTCCTCAGCAGGCCTGTGCAGAGCTTTGAGGAGATCTAGTCCTTCACAACCAGCTGCCCAGAAGCAGGAAAACGCCTGAAACTGCAGCCTGAAGCGCCACGAAACGCTTCCCAGCTCAGATCGCTGCTCTAAAAGGAGGAAAAAACGCCAGCTTTTCACTTCAAACGCTTCCTGAGCAACCTGGGGGCTTAACAGCATCCTCCGTCCCCCGCGTGAGGAGGACCCCCCCTCCTAACCGGCCTCTCTCTCCCCAGATCTCGCTGGTCTTCCTGGTCAGCGGCCTGATCATCCTGGGCTACTCGTCCTCCATCAGTGGCGGGGCCACCTACCAGGCGGTGGTCAGGCAGCTGTGCGGGCCGGCCATCGGCCAGCTGTGCGAGCTCTGCTTCGTCTTCAACCTCTTCATGATCTCCGTGGCCTTCCTGGTGGTGGTGGACGACCAGCTGGACAAGCGTGAGTCCCGGGGTGGCCCGCCCTGGCCCCCAGAGGCCGGAGCCAGCCCAGGTCAGGTCCCGCAGACGTCTGTAGGGACGCTGCTGACCAGTCAGCCTCCACCTGGAGCGTCCCAGTGCTGCTAGGTCTTTGGGAGGAGTCAGAGGGAGGTGTGGGGTTAGCAGTGTGGGCTCCTGTGTGGGCAGAGAGGGATGCAGATGTGTGTCTGGAGCTGGAGGACGGTGGGGCTGAGGTCCAAAGGCACAAGAGGGTCACTGTAAACAAGTTTTGCATTGTTTTCTTGTTTGTTTTTGACATCATTTTAGTTTTAATCTGCATATAACGGACCGGATAAATGATGAAAAATACATAGGCTAAATTTATGGTTAAAAACAGCAATAAAGTCCCAACTAAAGCTTCTAAACTGAAAGAGAAAATGATGTTTAGCATCATGCTAGCATCAATGGAAAACCAGTAAACTGTAATTGTCCTCAGTCCAAAACCGTCTGAGTTTCAAACCTGTTCTTTATCCAAAAAGAATAGATGAATCATGGAAACAGTAAGAAGTCTTAAGTTTGAGAGCAGATCTGTGGCTCTTCTGAGGTTCTGTGTAATGTGGGAGGTCTGAGCTCTGCTTCCCTCCTGGAGGCTCCTGTTTGGCCCTGGATGTCTCTGGAGGCTACTGGACGCTCCTGGATTCTTCTGGAGGCGCCTGGAGGCTTTTGGAGGGTCCTGGGTTCTCCTGGAGGCACCTGGAGACTCCTGGAGGCCTTTGGATGCCTCTCAGAGCCTCTTAACCTCCTCTCTGCCCCCCTCTGCTCCCCTCTGGCCGGCAGTGTGCGACTCCCTGTACGAGCTGCTGACCGGCCTGTCCCGGTCGGAGGTGCCCTACCAGCTGTACACTGACCAGCGCCTGGCCCTGCTGCTGCTCTGCCTCTTCCTCATCCTGCCCATGTCCGTCTCCAAGGAGATCAGCATCCAGAAGCACATCAGGTTAGAGAGCCGGCCGTTGCTTCGGCTCTTTTTTTTGCAGATTCGGCAGCTTTAAGCCGCTGCCTCGCCGTCCTTCAGTTCTGTGGCTCCCTGCTGTGAATCTGTGTTTTGTGTCCCCTCAAAGCGTCCTGGGCACTCTGGCTGCGTCCTACCTGACGGTGGCCATCATGGTCCGGTACCACACGGCGCCGGCGGCCCGCAGCACGCCGCTGCACTCCGGCGGGTACGTGGAGAAGGTCTCATCAGACCCCATCAGGGTCCATGAGGACCCATCAGGCCCCAGCTGCAGCCTTTAGGAGGCACAGAGCCTCCTGAGCCGACAGTCTATTGGTTTGACAGTTTATCTG